TGTCCCTCCCTAGACTGAATTGTGTACTTGTGTCCTCCCTTGACTGTATTGTGTACTTGTGTCCCTCCCTAGACTGTATTGTGTACTTGTGTCCCTCCCTAGACTGTATTGTGTACTTGTGTCCCTCACTTGTCTGTATTGTGTATTTGTGTCCCTTCCTTGTCTGTATTGTGTACTTGTGTCTCTCCCTTGGCTGTATTGTGTACCTGTGTCTCCCCTAGACTGAATTGTGTACATGTGTCCCTCGCTAGACTGAATTGTGTACTTATGTCCCTCACTAGACTGTATTGTGTACTTGTGTCGCTCACTAGACTATATTGTGTACCTGTGTCCCTCCCTAGACTGTATTGTGTACCTGTGTCTCCCCTAGACTGAATTGTGTACTTGTGTCCCTCACTAGACTGTAATTGTGTACTTGTGTCCCTCCCTAGACTGAATTGTGTACTTGTGTCCCTCCCTAGACTGAATTGTGTACTTGTGCCCCTCACTAGACTGTATTGTGTACCTGTGTCTCCCCTAGACTGATTTGTGTACTTGTGTCCCTCACTAGACTGTATTTTGTACTTGTGTCCCTCACTAGTCTGTATTGTGTATTTGTGTCCCTCACTAGACTGTATTTTGTACTTGTGTCCCTCACTAGTCTGTATTGTGTATTTGTGTCCCTCACTAGTCTGTATTGTGTACTTGTGTCCCTCACTAGTCTGTATTGTGTACTTGTGCCCCTCACTAGACTGTATTGTGTACCTGTGTCTCCCCTAGACTGATTTGTGTACTTGTGTCCTTCACTAGACTGTATTGTGTACTTGTGTCCCTCACTAGACTGTATTGTGTACTTGTGTCCCTCACTAGACTGTATTGTGTACTTGTGTCCCTCACTAGACTAAATTGTGTACTTGTGTCCCTCATTAAACTGCAGTAATCACAGAACCGGGCTGTGCTTGACAGTTGTTTCTCATGCCTGTTTATATGTAAAGTTCAGATTGTGTGATCATTTATTATGGTAAAAGGATTTCTGTATCTCAGATATCAATACTTTGCATGTATTTATCAGTTGCTCCAGCCTGTATTTATCAGTTGCTCCAGCCTGTATTTATCAGTTGCTCCTGCCTGTATTTATCAGTTGCTCCAGCCTGTATTCATCAGTTGCTCCTGCCTGTATTTATCAGTTGCTCCAGCCTGTATTTATCAGTTGCTCCAGCCTGTATTTATCAGTTGCTCCTGCCTGTATTTATCAGTTGCTCCAGCCTGTATTTATCAGTTGCTCCAGCCTGTATTTATCAGTTGCTCCAGCCTGTATTTATCAGTTGCTCCTGCCTGTATTTATCAGTTGCTCCAGCCTGTATTTATCAGTTGCTCCAGCCTGTATTTATCAGTTGCTCCTGCCTGTATTTATCAGTTGCTCCTGCCTGTATTTATCAGTTGCTCCTGCCTGTATTTATCAGTTGCTCCAGCCTGTATTTATCAGTTGCTCCTGCCTGTATTTATCAGTTGCTCCAGCCTGTATTTATCAGTTGCTCCAGCCTGTATTTATCAGTTGCTCCTGCCTGTATTTATCAGTTGCTCCAGCCTGTATTTATCAGTTGCTCCAGCCTGTATTTATCAGTTGCTCCTGCCTTTCTAAAACCTCACAGTTTCATTTGGATCAGTTTCGTCTTCATCAAATCAGTTCCAGAACTCATCTGCTTCATTGGAATGTTTGCTTCAGTTATAAATCACCAGAAAGGTGGACAGGTGATCGCTTGTCAGTCATTATATGTTCTAGTCATGTCATGAAAAACTCTTTTAAATCTTTGTGAAATATCCAGAAACCTTAAGTGCATTGAGCAAAATAATTTCTGTAATGAATTATACATGTGTAAAGAAAATGCCAAAAAGCAATACACATCATGAGAGCTATAGATTGATACCAAGGACCTCTGTGTAATGTAATAGTGTTTGCATATATGTGTTGAAGTAGAATTTCAAATCTGTTCTAAATTGTCAAGTTGGTTTTCTTCCCTTTAGTGTTAATTTATAATGGATTTGACCAGATATTTATTCTGTTTACTGAAAAAAAGGAAAAAAAATTTCCAAAAATGTTTGTATTTTTCTTAAATGTTTGTATGTTTGTAATTGTAAAAACATTTTTTTTCCTAAAATATTTGTATTTATGCTGTTCATTATTGACACAATTTATTATACTAATACTTTTTATTTAATGTGTTTCAAGTATAAGAATTGTTCATTGTGGAAAAATTCTGAACACACTGAATATTTCAACTGCATTGTAAACAGTGAATGTGAATGTCAGTGGTGTACACTAAACACAGTGAATGTGGATGTCAGTGGTGTACACTGAACACAGTGAATGTGGATGTCAGTGGTGTACACTAAACACAGTGAATGTGGATGTCAGTGGTGTACACTGAACACAGTGAATGTGGATGTCAGTGGTGTACACTAAACACAGTGAATGTGGATGTCAGTGGTGTACACTAAACACAGTGAATGTGGATGTCAGTGGTGTACACTAAACACAGTGAATGTGGATGTCAGTGGTGTGCACTAAACACAGTGAATGTGGATGTCAGTGGTGTACACTAAACAGTGAATGTAGATGTCAGTGGTGTACACTAAACACAGTGAATGTGGATGTCAGTGGTGTACACTAAACACAGTGAATGTGGATGTCAGTGGTGTACACTAAACACAGTGAATGTGGATGTCAGTGGTGTACACTAAACACAGTGAATGTTGATGTCAGTGGTGTACACTAAACAGTGAATGTGGATGTCAGTGGTGTACACTAAACACAGTGAATGTTGATGTCAGTGGTGTACACTAAACACAGTGAATGTGGATGTCAGTGGTGTACACTAAACACAGTGAATGTGGATGTAAGTGGTGTACACTAAACACAGTGAATGTTGATGTCAGTGGTGTACACTAAACAGTGAATGTGGATGTCAGTGGTGTACACTGAACACAGTGAATGTGGATGTCAGTGGTCTGCACTAAACACAGTGAATGTGGATGTCAGTGGTGTACACTAAACAGTGAATGTTGATGTCAGTGGTGTACACTAAACACAGTGAATGTGGATGTCAGTGGCGTACACTAAACAGTGAATGTGGATGTCAGTGTTGTACACTAAACAGTGAATGTGGATGTCAGTGGTGTACACTGAACACAGTGAATGTGGATGTCAGTGTTGTACACTAAACACAGTGAATGTGGATGTCAGTGGTGTACACAAAACACAGTGAATGTTGATGTCAGTGTTGTACACTAAACTGAATGTGGATGTCAGTGGTGTACACTAAACACAGTAAATGTGGATGTCAGTGGTGTACACTAAACAGTGAATGTGAATGTCAGTGGTGTACACTGAACACAGTGAATGTGGATGTCAGTGGTGTACACTAAACAGTGAATGTGGATGTCAGTGGTGTACACTAAACACAATGAATGTTGATGTCAGTGTTGTACACTAAACTGAATGTGGATGTCAGTGGTGTACACTGAACACAGTGAATGTGGATGTCAGTGGTGTACACTAAACACAGAGAATGTGGATGTCAGTGGTGTACACTAAACACAGTGAATGTGGATGTCAGTGGTGTACACTTAACACAGTGAATGTGGATGTCAGTGGTGTACACTTAACACAGTGAATGTGGATGTCAGTGGTGTACACTTAACACAGTGAATGTGGATGTCAGTGGTGTACACTTAACACAGTGAATGTGGATGTCAGTGGTGTACACTAAACAGTGAATGTGGATGTCAGTGGTGTACACTAAACACAGTGAATGTTGATGTCAGTGGTGTACACTAAACAGTGAATGTGGATGTCAGTGGTGTACACTTAACACAGTGAATGTGAATGTCAGTGGTGTACACTTAACACAGTGAATGTGGATGTCAGTGGTGTACACTAAACAGTGAATGTGGATGTCAGTGGTGTACACTAAACACAGTGAATGTGGATGTCAGTGGTGTACACTAAACACCATGAATGTGGATGTCAGTGGTGTACACTTAACACCTCTCACTGAATATGGATGATTATCATTACTGCACTTTTAACAAAACACATCGGTATGTGGACTGTGGTGCACACTTAACCTATTGTGAATTAAGTGTCAATTGCAGTTATTATTTGAAGTGGTTTAGGTATAATAGTTTGAGATTTTCCAGAAGAATGTGACAGTTATCAACAGATCACCATATTTTACGGACTTAAGGTTTATCGTTGAGATCCGTACAGATAACATATTCCTGTTTTTCTGGTTGTTTGGGTGGTTCATTGAATCATGAACATCTTAATAAATCTAAATATCACAAGATGAAGTGTGCCATTCTTATCAAAAGTACAGACAATTCTTGTGCTGCTCTATAGCGGGAACTTGTGCCAACGTCATGCCAAAGCTTTTGACTAGAATAAAATTTTATACAATCTAATATTGTGATGAGAATCTCTTGTAATGGTGACATATCTGTTTTGGGTCAAATCTAGTCTTAAGTTTGATATTTGTAGTCAAGATAGGAGCATCCAACCGAAACAACCATATGACGATTGTCTTATCAGCTCTGTGCATGTCAGTAGGTATAAAGCCAGAGAGACAGGTGATTTATAGAGGTCAAATCGGCCAAAATTATTTTCATATTGATGGGTCACATGACTTGTCTTATCTTGATATTATTGCCAAGATTTCGGTGTTTGTGTTGTGAGAAATCCTTTGTCAATTTGATTAAAAAACAAAGCCAATGTATGCTAACTATCAGGCTATATGGAGAGCTTGGGCTGTAGTTGTATGTGTTTGTCAGGAAGGTATGCAGGCTTATAGGTTAGCTGTTATAAACATGGTTATTCTGGATAAAAGGAAACTTGTCTCCAATAGCTCAGTATTTGATAACAGGCCCTGTGACACTGTGTTGTAAATGGAGTATTAATTTCTCAAGAACATGAAATACAAGTGTGTTGGTATTCCTGATTTAAATGTGTCTATTGGATTAAAATGGATGATCGAAGCCCTACAACAGCCGTGTAAGTAACTGCGCCCACGGATTTACTTACCGCTTGGATTTAAAGGCCTGAACAAGGAGATTTTTATTAATTGTGATATTTATTTCGTCAACAATATCTTCTTTCATCAGCAATTTCTATTTCTTGTTGAAGTCTTAAGATATACTTTAAAACTTTTTTCATTACGTAAATTATGCCAGTTAAGGTTTACATAATTTTGTTTATCATAGCAAGCTCTTACCATGGTTTTCTTAGTTTTTTGTTTTTATTTCCCTTAAAGAACCAAAAAAAATCTAAAGCTTATTTCCATACATTTAACCAGGTTAACTAGAAATAGTTACAGAAATAGAGAAAATAAAGGAAGAATTTATTTGATATGAAGGAATATTGATGGACAGAATGAGTTTTACAATTGTTATTGGCTTTGTTTAAACTTGGAAGATGTACTTTTCAACACCGTGGCAAAGATTTTGTTGTGGTTATCAATTTATATTGACTGACATAGTAATGTAGAGATTCCTCGTTCAGCCAACTGGTTATGACAACATATACTGGTGTTATGTGACATGTAAGATGGTTAGTCCTGCAGATGACCATTGTTTACCATATTCTGAATTTAAAGCTCCCTAACCTCAGTCTGTCCCCTTCACATTTTGAAGCTCCCTAACCTCAGTCTGTTCCCTTCACATTTTGAAGCTCCCTAACCTCAGTCTGTTCCCTTCACATTTTGAAGCTCCCTAACCTCAGTCTGTCCCCATCACATTTTGAAGCTCCCTAACCTCAGTCTGTCTCCTTCACATTTGAAACTCTAAAATTGTGAGAACACAGTTTCATTTTCATTTCTTAACTTTGAAACACAACCAAGCTCAAAACACTTGATTGAAAATTGATAAACATACAAAATTGTTTACACTTTAATTGTTTACACTTTAATTGTTTTTAAAATGTGTTTAGAATAAATATAGAAAGTTTGCCTGATGATGGAGCACTCAGTAATTGAATTTTGATGATCAAAATGCTGATTTTTATCAAACTTTTGCTGCAATGTTATGACCATGAACAGTCTACTTTCCATAATAAATGAGTATCATGCTCTTCTTGCTCATGTCGTCATCAAACTCACTGTATACTGGACCCTGTTCTCTGTTGACTCCGTCTCTGTGTTATGTCCGTTATACAATGTTGGACCAATTCTTTGTTGACTATTTCTGTTGTGTTATGTTTACCTTATTAAGTCACTCTCTACTATTGCCCCCATTATAGGTGTGGGTTGTGTATTCATTTTGACGTATGTTCACACATGATTGAATGTTTCCGAATAGCATTTATTAAATCGAAAATAAAAAATCAATTTTCACCAAGGTCCACACTTTTACGATGGATCTTATACGTATTTGTATGTATGACGTAAATAATTCAGTTCTTTTGAACATTACAATATCTGAGCCTGATTTCAATGTGACAGTCTCAAACCTCGCTGAATTTTGTGCTGAATAGATTAATTGGATATGAACAGATTACATTGATTAATGTCAGACTTTTGATAATTGTATGTATGCAGAAATTGTGACTATTATGGTGTTCATCCATTCTATCTTGTATTTTTGAAAGAGGAAATCTTCATTTTTTTTTTCCTCAAAACATTTTCCATGTTTATCATGTGTATTTGACAAAGATTTCTGTGACAAAGAAAATTCATGGATCTATTTGAAACTATTTTTGACAAATGTACTGAAAAATAGATATTGTTCAAAATGTAAAACTTAATTTATATATATAAAATAACATGTTATTTAAATATAGCATTTTTAAGAATTGAAAATGAAGGACAGAAAAGTTAAATTATAGGTGGACAGGTAATACAACTGTGACAAAACTGTACCAAAACCTGGTTAAATTATAGGTGGACAGGTAATACATCTGTGTCAAAACTGTACCCAAACCAGGTTAAATTACAGGTGGACAGGTAATACATCTGTGTCAAAACTGTACCCAAACCAGGTTAAATTACAGGTGGACAGGTAATGCAACTGTGACAAAACTGTACCTAAACCAGGTTAAATTACAGGTGGACAGGTAATACAACTGTGACAAAACTGTACCCAAACCAGGTTAAATTACAGGTGGACAGGTAATACAACTGTGACAAAACTGTACCCAAACCAGGTTAAATTACAGGTGGACAGGTAATACAACTGTGACAAAACTGTACCCAAACCAGGTTAAATTACAGGTGGACAGGTAATACAACTGTGACAAAACTGTAGCCAAACCAGGTTAAATTACAGGTGGACAGGTAATACAACTGTGACAAAACTGTACCTAAACCAGGTTAAATTACAGGTGGACAGGTAATACAACTGTGTCAAAACTGTACCCAAACCAGGTTAAATTACAGGTGGACAGGTAATACGTCCGTGTCAAAACTGTACCCAAACCAGGTTAAATTACAGGTGGACAGGTAAAACAACTGTGACAAAACTGTACCCATTCCAGGTTAAATTACAGGTGGACAGGTAATACAACTGTGTCAAAACTGTACCCAAACCAGGTTAAATTACAGGTGGACAGGTAATACAACTGTGACAAAACTGTACCCAAACCAGGTTAAATTACAGGTGGACAGGTAATACAACTGTGACAAAACTGTACCCAAACCAGGTTAAATTACAGGTGAACAGGTAATACAACTGTGACAAAACTGTACCCAAACTAGGTTAGGTGGTCGGGCTATACAGCTGTAATAAAACTGTTCCCAAACCAAATTTTCAGATTTTTTTGGAGGTTAAATACCAGAGAAATGTTGATTATGAGATACCTTTCACTGTAGACTGTACACAAATTGTGGTAAGTAAGATAAAAGTGGCCACAATTGGAGCTGATATAGGGTTATTATCATAGTGTTGTTTACACATGGTCTACCAATGGCAAAGTACTTGTCTTGTACTAGAAGAAATATAACAAAAAATTCAGAATTGTATTGTTTGGTAGACAGGGCATCTTTCTGGTATAATGCAATCTGAGACCTGACCAGGGACCATTCCAATGTCTTATTCACCAAAATTACAAGTCTGATGGTCTTCTCCTCAATATAGACAAGAAAAGAAAAAAATAGACACTGGTATTTAGGCTGATTAATATTACCCCTGCCCTTGTATGTTTGTTTCCAAAATTGCTTTTGGTCCTTTGAATTCTTACACCAAATTCAGATTGATGGACTTCCAGACAAAAAGGATAATGTCTTTAGGTGAACTCACTGACACAGATTTCCTTGTGACTTTACCCTGCCTAGGAGTTTAACATGTTTTAAATATTTCATTTTTTTTTTTCAGAAAAATGAATGGGCTCACCTCAAGTTGTAGTCAGAATGGAAATACAATGAAGGGGAATGGCAGTAACATACCGGCATTACGCATACAGCCGGACACTCCTGTACCACCCTCATGTGGCACCACACCCATCCCTCCCCTTGGTCAGGACAAGACCAACATTCAACTACCAGCTCTGTCCACAACCCGCAATGTTGTAAATCAGGGCAAGCCCACACAGAATGGATCAACCCCACGAAGCATGGGTCATCACCAAGCTAGTAACTTCTTCCATACACGTCATATCAAGTCGGGTAGGTGTTAATCATGGTTAAGTGGCCCTTGGTGGTAACACAGCTTTTCACAGAAATTAAGATATGTTAGAAATCATGTACTTACTAAATTTTTTGAAAAAGAAAACTGCTATTTAAAGAATTCTGAAGAAATTAAGAAAATTGTTTTTATTTTCCTGTATTCAAAGGTATTATAAGAAAGATGATGGTTTGTGTAAATCTGAATGGTGTTGGGCGATCATTGATTTTATTGTATGGAATGTGTGGCAAAGACCTCAATGCTCTATCATTTGTTTGAATTTTCTCCTCTACATAATTCAAGTGGAAATCAATAATCCAATTAGCAGAGACAAGTCTCATTGTGAAAATGAGGATAGGAAAATTTTATTGGAATTTAATGTAAAACAGTTGACTTGGACAATTGAAGTGTAGACACTCTGGTTGTGGCTAAACTTTGATGACTTAATGAAACACAATACAAAACACAAGAGATTGTTGAGCCTGGTACAACGATTAATCAATGGGGCAAGGATGAAATATTTAACATAGACGGCCGGTGCCCAGTCATTGCGCTATTCCAGAGATGTCGCTGATATATCAGACATGTGGAATAAATAATTGATCATTTGATAAGAAGGGATAATGCTGATCAGAAAAACATAAAACAATTTATGGTGAGAAAGGATGATGATTCTTCAGCTCCTTATGGCTGTTGGAGTGGTCAGTTAGTGTGGTAGTACAGGCAGGGTGGTCAGTTTGTGTGGTAGTACAGGCAGGGTGGTCAGTTAGTGTGGTAGTACAGGCAGGGTGGTCAGTTTGTGTGGTAGTACAGGCAAGGTGGTCAGTCAGTGCGGTAGTACAGGTAGGGTGGTCAGTTAGTGTGGTAGTACAGGCAAGGTGGTCAGTTTGTGTTGTAGTACAGGCAGGGTGGTCAGTTAGTGCGGTAGTACAGGTAGGGTGGTCAGTTAGTGTGGTAGTACAGGCAAGGTGGTCAGTTTGTGTGGTAGTACAGGTAGGGTGGTCAGTTAGTGTGGTAGTACAGGCAAGGTGGTCAGTTTGTGTGGTAGTACAGGCAGGGTGGTCAGTTAGTGTGGTAGTACAGACAGGGTGGTCAGTTAGTGTGGTAGTACAGGCAGGGTGGTCAGTTAGTGTGGTAGTCCAGGCAGGGTGGTCAGTTAGTGTGGTAGTACAGGCAGGGTGGTCAGTTAGTGTGGTAGTCCAGGCAGGGTGGTCAGTTAGTGTGGTAGTACAGGCAGGGTGGTCAGTTAGTGTGGTAGTCCAGGCAGGGTGGTCAGTTAGTGTGGTAGTACAGGCAGGGTGGTCAGTTAGTGTGGTAGTCCAGGCAGGGTGGTCAGTTTGTGTGGTAGTACAGGCAGGGTGGTCAGTTAGTGTGGTAGTACAGGCAGGGTGGTCAGTCTGTGTGGTAGTACAGGCAGGGTGGTCAGTTAGTGTGGTAGTCCAGGCAGGGTGGTCAGTTTGTGTGGTAGTACAGGCAGGGTGGTCAGTTAGTGTGGTAGTACAGGCAGGGTGGTCAGTTAGTGTGGTAGTACAGGCAGGGTGGTCAGTTTGTGTGGTAGTACAGGCAGGGTGGTCAGTTAGTGTGGTAGTACAGGCAGGGTGGTCAGTCTGTGTGGTAGTACAGGCAGGGTGGGTAAGTAACTAGGTGCTATCACATCTGACTTGTCAAATTAGAAAAATTCAATTTTATATTATAGTTCAGGTTAAAGGTTACAATTATGTCTAAGGTTATTCTTTGATGGTGTAGTTGCTGATGACTGACAGATGTTAGATCATTTTCTCTTTGATCTGTAGGGAAAACTTCAAGCCTAATGATTTCTTGTTACTTCAGATAGAGCCCTATCAGCACAGTTAATTTTCTCAGAAGAAAGTCACTTTTTATCTTATTGACAAAAGATTTTTTATCACTGATTTCCATGCTTTTATAGACAGTATTGAGGTATACACCAAGTAGATAAAAAAAGGTGAAGATGGAAAGTGATTTTGCCGCTTCTTGCGAAGTTTTGCCAGTGCCCCGACTGTGAGAGTGTGAAGGAAAGCCTGTTAATTAGTGTATTGATTATATGTCAGTGATGTAGATGGTTGGAGCTGGATTGTAGTGTAGGAGTGTGTAACCCTGTCAATAGCTCATTGGTGTACTCTAATATCATCAATGTGCAAAATATTCCATGGAAAACATTATTCTAATGTAACATATTGATGTTTTAGAAACCATTAGTTTATCAAATCATGTAGATACAAGTAGGATTTTGTTTAACTCTGAATAACTATAACATAAACCCACCCTATACATTAGCAAAACAGCAACAACGATGGTCATTTGAAAGTTAAATGAAGTTTAAAGTACATATTAATGTTATCGGTAGGATTTATACATAGAAAAATAGCATGACAGATCAGGTTTTATGCAAATGACTTTTTACTTAACACTTCTGAAAATATAAACTGATGTTATTATCTATTGCCTTGAGTCTTCTGAATGGTTATATGTTTGATTTCTTATCCATCAAACATTTCAAAGTTAAATTGTTGAATTACATTTACTGAAAGTTAAATTACATCAAATGAAAGTTACATTATATCAAATGAAAGTTAAATTACATTTACTGAAAGTTAAATTACATCAAGTGAAAGTCAAATAACATTAATTGAAGGTCAAATTACGTTAACTGAAAGTCAAATTACATCCACTTAAAGTAAAATTTACTTTCATTGAAGGTTCAATTACATTGACCAAAATTTCAATTATATTTACCAGAAGTTAAATTACATATACTGGAGGTTAAATTAACTTAAAGTTTCATTACATTTACTATATATGAAATACTTCTTTACTGATAAAAATCATTCAACGTGTGAAGATTAACATGTATGGAAAACAACAATTTGTATCGTTAAAAATATTGGTGTTACAAGTTCAAAGTTATAGCCATAAAATGCAGAAATAAGACCCTTTAGTTTCAAATTGCATTTTGACATCAGTGACAGAAGAGTAAGGAGTCAGAGTAGAAATTGTTCCAACTTTGGAAACAATCAATGTTGGTTATTCTTTAAAAAAATTAAGTAAACAAAAACAAATGCTGTTCTTGTTAAGTAATTTGGGTTTTTAAGAATTTTTTTTTCTAGGAAGAAATTTTAGTTTTTTAATTTTCTCTATATAATTCAAGTGAAAAATTGATAATCTAATTAGCAGAGACAAGTTCCATTGTGAAAATGAGGATAGGAAAATTTTAGACAAAAAATATTCAGGATTTATCACATTGCAAAAATTTTTTTTTTCATGGTTTTGTGTCCGGCTGATTTTTTTAACTCTTACTTTAGGCGTTAGTAGCATTAGTAAAACTGGTCGACCGGCATTATTTGGCAAATTTTAGTAAAACTGGTCGACCGGCATTACTTGGAAAATTTTAGAAAAACTGGTCGACCGGCATTACTTGGCAAATCTTAGTAAAACTGGTCGACCGGCATTACTTGGCAAATTTTTACTGATTTACCATTCTTTCAATGACTCATTGTATTTTGTTCTGAGTCATATACAGTGTCACATCAGGTGAATTAAGATGGGTTTTTTACCTCTTCATTGTCCCCTGAATGACATGTTCAATGATAACCAACAACATTCTTGGAAGGTTGATATCCCTAAACTGTCTTATAGACATTATCAACACTTTAAATTCTTAAAATACAGCACTTTTATGGGGGTTTAAAAAATACCTGTAGAAAATGTTGGTTTTAAAGACAGGTGTTTCAATGTTAAGGCAGTATGAGGGATAAAACTGAAGGATTGTCAGTGACATTTCAACAAACATCCAATGTAAACCTGGGTAACTGTAATACATTGTATTATAATGATATTGTTATGATACTTGCAGGATATATTTATATATATTTTTATATATAGGATATCTAATTTACTGGTGCATCTTAATCTCAAAGGAGAGGGCTTTCATAGGCTCTGCCTGTTGCCCAATTCCTATTGTCAATACCACCAAGACAATAAAATATTCTGAAATCAAATCTTAATCTCACTGAATCAGTAGATTTATTTTTTTGAGTAATTGAAAAAAATTGTCTATTAAAATTCACTTAATATTTGACATTACACAGTATAGATTTAAGTAAGTTTTTGGACAAGTAATTTTTGTCAAATTAATCATTTAAAGTGATGTGAAGAAGTTCCTTCAACTCTAAAAAAGGTAATATGTTGATATAGAAACATCTCAGAAGACATCTTGTTATCACAAAAACAAAAATAATGAAAATTTCATGAAAAAATATTGATAGATTAGTACGATGATGCAAGTTTTCCTGCTTCCATGTCATTAACCATCAATATTCTCCTGTAATGTATTTATCTACTAGCCTAGTGATTATCTACAAAAGAATTCAAATCATGATAAATAAAATTGCTTCTGAGAAAGCTTTTATCATCTCATGATGAAAACTGTGTGATCTAAGCTTTCAGCTGAGTCAGATATAAGTTTCGTGACTGAAAATACTGATTTATACTAAATATCTTACTATATTCATAATGAGCATGGATGAAGAAGGAAGTCAGAAGGTTAGAGAATCTAAAGTATGGCTCAAGTAATTGACCAATGGATGCCCTTGTGTACTGTCTCTGCCAAATCAGGGCTCCAATCCACTGCAATCCCATCAGCTAGTTACCGCAGCACAGAAGTTGATGTTTTATTTACGGGAGTGTGCTCCAGATAAACAATGATTTAAATGCAGATTGGACAATAAAACAGAATAATAGAATGGATACAATTGATCTAGCAGTGGTGTTACTGGATTAACATTCAACATATTCTCTTATCACGTCTATATCTCCCTCTCAAAAAACACTCCCATTTGGTGATCAAACTGTACATGGTTTTTTGCCTCCCCACTTTTGATCTGTTATGTGTATTGATTATAGTCATCCCCAGAGCTTTAAATTTTGCTCTTTAAAGAAAAAATTAACGACACTTTTGGGATTAGGAGCATTTAAAATGAAAATATTTTATTTGCTTAATCACATTCTCCAAAGAAACAGGGAAGTGGGTTCTTTTTTTATTGAAACTGAGGCAAATATGCTTCTTCTAAGAATGATTTAATATTAACTGTGTTAGAGGAGTTCAGTTGCTCCAAGAATAGTGTTCGTTCAAGATTTTAAGTGACAAAAATCATATTTTAATGTTCTGAAATACTTTTCAAGGAATGGAACGTGCTTGGAATTCTTTTGAAAAGTTTAAATCGCTTGAAGACACTCCAAAAGAGGTCAGCAGTATTGTTTTTGGATAGTTAAAGGTTGCTGTCAAAACACAACCGACATGAACTGAAAAATATTTATTTAAATAAGACTAACAATATTACTTGAACAACTTACAAGTTTCAATAGAATCCAGCAAGTTCGAGTAAGGCTTTGATTTTTCAACAAAATCACAGACAACAATGACTTGAACTGATATTGAAACAACTTTCACTGACATGATTTGGCAACTGTTCAAAAATTGATGCCAGTATTTGTCTCCTTTTTGATAGATACAATGTATACTTACAAGAACACTTTACCTTAACATGTCAAAGTGAATTGGAGAATTTTGGTTTTGACATGATTTTTACTAGCATGTCTTAACAAACTAGAAAATTCTTAATAGACTTTATTTTTAGATGCACTATGCTTTCGGCCATGGTTAAAACCTTTGACCATCTGGTAGACAAAACAATTACATGTTTCCTTGACTTTGGCATAGATCTGTTTTTGTGACTGAATATTAATTACATAATGAAGTTCTCAGTAAGAAATTATATCTTTGGCATGTGGGATATACACCATTAACCGGGGGCTTGAACCACTAGGTGTTTGTGACAGGTTTATGGCAGGATGTTACCAGACAAAGATTTAAAAGGGCCCTAATGTCATCTTACTAACATGGCAGACTTTTTTAAGCCATTTTAGAGTCCAATTGCCTATAGCAAGATGAAGCGGATTTTAAGCTATTCAAAACTGTTTTCTAGAGTGGGGTAACCATTCTTGTCTTAAGAACAGTCAGGTATTGGCGATATTTTTAGCTTTAAAATCAATAAACTTCAAACTTATCAATTGTTTAGTGATAAGTTCATACATTGTGTAATGTTTAAACTTCATGTGGTAAACAGCTGATGGTATTTAAATGTAATTTATTTCAGTAAGGTGTAGATGTCATGTCCGAGCCTGCTGATCTAACTAGTACATGCTAACATATTCAAGCTTTTTATGAGGATTTAAGCAGACTTTGAATCAGATTTTTAAACTGTATTTACACTCAATTAAGAAAACATGAAAATGAAAAGAGTCTTCCTATCAATAAAATATCACTTTAACCTATTGTATTAGTCAGTGAGTTTGCTATGATAATTATGTGATAGACACACTATAAATGACATTTCATTCATGTTTTCGGTTTCCACCATTTGTGAGTGGATGAGCTGATGATTAGGGGTATATTCAAGCTGAGTTGTCAGAAATCACATGAGTAAACGTTTCATGGGTCAGTGGCACTAACCAATCAATGATATACAAATTAATGGAGGAGAATGAAGAGGCAGTGGCTGTGGGAATAAGGAGGACATCATATATATTGATTGTATGCTGATAGTTAACATGTTTCTTTTAGTGTCCCTAGATGTGGCTTGAATGATAGTGTTTACATAATCAATAACAAACATGATACACAAACATATTTTATTTGTTTCATATTCAGAAAACTAAAAGAGATAGGAAATCACCATTAATGAATTATCATAAAAAATTATTACTGTACATGTGATCAGATTGCACTCATGTGCCATATATTTTAAGATGGATTTCCACACACATCTTGTTAATTTATATCCCTATATGTGGTCAGATTGTCCTGCCTTATCCTTTGTGAGATCCTCATTTGATACACCGGGGAAAAGTGGGTAATTTAAGGGCTGTTTTAGTTTCTCAGCTTTACATAGGCCATGTCTGTTGTTTTTTTACAGATATGAATGGAATGATGGGACCAATGTGTATGGGAATTAATCCACGCAACCGATCAGTAGGGCATCAAGTTCAGCCATCCAACCAAACTGTACAGCAACAGAACTTACACATTCCCAACCGTCTGGAGACGTCCACTCCTACACCCAGTGAAGTCTCCAGCATCAGATCAACTCCACGACCCTCGGCCCAGACCCCAACCTTGCAGGATCGTGTAACAACGCCATCTTTCAATGGGAATGACAAACATGTTTTCTTAGAGCCTTTCCCTGTCACTAAGAGTGAGTGGAACCCTTATAAGCCTTTGCCACATGTCCAGAATGGCAGCAATGGCACCTCTGTTACTACAGCAAGTGAAATGGATCGCCAATCCAATTGCTCCAATGGTATGATTCCTAGTGCTACCTGTTCGCTATCTCCATACCAACACATGGAGACATCACCATCTGGCTCCAACTTCACGTCAAGCCCACGCAACTCGGCACATGTAAGGATGCATGGAACAAAGCGTGCCCTGTCAATCTCTCCAATTGGCTCTGATGGAGTGGATCTCTACTCCCTTATAAGGACGTCGCCCACATCTTTGGTGGCATATATAAATGGGTCTCGTAGCTCATCCACAAGTGTGTCACCACAGCCCGGAGTTCAGCCTGGCCATTTTGGTCACTTAATTGCACGCAGGAGCAACAGGGGAGGTAGTTCTGGTAGTCCGTACTCTGGGTCTGGGTCCTCAAGGCCTCGACACAGTTTTACTCCACACAGCGGTTTCAAACGTGAGCCCGAGTTTGGCATCAATGAGAACCTGTCTGACATATTTCCTGATATTGTCAGTAACCAGGTTGTTGTACAGCAGAGTGATGTTCCCTCCTTTGAGCAACGTGCAATGGAGGATATGCGTTATTCTCAAATGAATAATTTTGGACATCAACATAACCATCAGGCCAACAACACAACATCCAGTACTAACATCAGCAGCAATTTGGCTGTGGTCGGACGTCCACCTCCACCTTATGAACAGGCTGTGGTTCAGAATAACGGCCAAACACCAACCTCCCAGCAACAACAGATGTCACATATGCCAACGACACAACACCCGCACATGCACACATCACCACCACAGCAGCAACAACATGTGACACAACCTCTCCAACAGCACAACTTTCAGCACAACAATATGGTACCGCAAGTGGCACCAGCTCTGCAGCCGCTGTCGCAGCTTAACAACAATACTAATAATATGGTGAACAACAGTAATATTATCAATGAAAATAACTTCTTGAGCAGTGACATGTGTGAAGATGGAGAGCTGGATGAGAATGGAGAGAAACAAAACATGTGTCGATGGATTGACTGTAATCTCATGTTTAAGGAACAGGATGAACTTGTTCGTCATATAGAAAAGGCACATATTGACCAGAGGAAGGGTGAAGACTTCACCTGCTTCTGGTCAGGGTGCCAGCGCCGCTATAAACCCTTCAATGCCAGATACAAGTTACTCATTCACATGAGGGTACATTCTGGGGAAAAGCCAAACAAATGCACAGTAAGTATCATAACATTGTCTGGTTCATTTGTAGCATGCTGTCCTGTTACTAAGCAATGTTCATTTACTTCTAGGCCTAAATATTTAATGCTTTTTTATTTTTATATACAAATTTTGTGTTATCATTAGACAGGGAGATACATTGTTGTCAGTGTGTTCTGTGTTGGACTGTATTACATCAACATTTATAATTAAACAATTATACCATAATACCTCCGTCTATACACACCAAAGCTATTTCCACACATGTATTTTTAAGCAAAACAAATTATGAAGGTCAAAATCCTGCTGGTCCCATACCAAGTGTAGTTTATTTTAGTAAGTATGTATGGCCTTGGCTAGTACTCAGCTGTTAGATCAGAGAGACTGACAGATGTACAAGTTTTATGTTTTTAAGAGAGTAGGTTTGTATTTCTTGTTATCAGGTTGGACAGTAGATTTAATTATTGATAACCTTGCCCTGAGCTGGACTAATTGGAGTAGACCTTTTTGATTAAGCTGCCATGATGGATTTCTGATGACTCTAAATTCATTGCTGACACATGTGTTACACTTCCGTTCAAAAGATTGATTCCAGGTTATTCAGAGATTTGCTGTTGAACATAACAATAGCTAATCATTTGTCTGTTCAAGACTCTTCAGGTACAGAAGTATCAACCATCTAGTTCACTTTATTGACCAGTATCTGTTGATTTTGAATGGCAGTGTTACATTTTATTGAATTTCAATTCAGATCAAAATTACAGTAATGTTTCAGCTGGGCACAGAAATCAGATATGCTTTATTCTGAGAATGCACTTCCTTGTGTCTTATGCCCCACAATGCACTGTCTGGTCTCTAATTTCCCACAATGCACTTCCTGGTCCCCTACATCCGACAATGCACTGCCTGTCTCAAATGTCCCAAAATGTACTTATAGGCCACTTATGCCCCACCACGCACTTCCTGGTATCTGAGGTCACAGAAAGCAATGATGGTCTCTTATGCCCCACATTGTACTGTCTGGTCACTTATTCCCCACAATGCACTATCTTGTTCTAATTCCCCACAATGCACTATCTGGTTCTAATTCCCCACAATGCACTATCTGGTTCTAATTTCCCACAGTGCACTATCTGGTTCTAATTCCCCACAATACACTATCTGGTTCTAATTCCCCACAGTGCACTATCTGGTTCTAATTCCCCACAATGCACTATCTGGTTCTAATTCCCCACAATGCACTACCTGGTATCTGATGTCACAGAAGGCAATTTATGTTCTCATATGCCCCACAATGCACTATCTGGTCACTAATGTCCCATATTGCACTATCTGGTCTGTAATATCCCACAATGCACTATCTGGTCACTAATGTCCCATATTACATTACCTGGACACTGAAAAAAAACCTACAAACATTATGTCTCCAATTTCTCAGAATCCATCATCTGGAACACTCATTATTAGTAACCTTATGGTGAAATTTCTCCAAAATTTGTCAATGAAATGAAAACCAAGATAAAAGGGCTAATGACAACCAGCTTGTGAAAATACATGATTAGAACAGAAATTGATTAATTGTTTCCGTTATTTCATTACTTTTTATGATATGAGATGGACACATCAATTTAACATTACTTGAATATCAAGACATGTTCATATGGTTCAGGAGATATTTGTATTGATCTTTATACCTTCAATCTATTGTGCTGTTTTTGAAATATGAATTTTTAGGACTTTTGTGGTTGTATATTTTGTAAAGCAATGGTGACATCCAGATAATTAGGTGATGATGGTTCTCAGAAAACTGTCCATGTCAGAAGTTCACAGAAATTACCACAATTTTCTCTAGTTGTCTAAATTAGCTTGCACAGTGAAATGATTGGCTGACTATGTGTTTGATTTTGTTGGCCTTGTGTATTAAGTCAAGAGTAGGATAAGCTAATATACACAAGCATTGGACTGGATTATCAAAGATAGTGTGTAACCTTTAACTGACCTCACAACTCATACTAAATAATCTTAACTAGGATTCTAAACAACAGCATATATTAATATCATTTGTTGAAGAAACATAAAAACGTTTGTTATTTAAGATGAATTTTTGAAAACAGCCTAGCACTTCAAACATGGTTTAGTTTTGTAGGAGGAAGTTTTAGAGGGGGTACCCACTCCAGGCTATCAGTAAATGCCAGGGTCTGGAGGAATCTTAGTCTACAACTCAACTTTAATTCTACACTGTGCTCTCAACAAACTTTACTTTCTAAGCTTCATGTTTATTTAAAAAAACCGTGAAAAAATTACCAACAACGTGAGATTTATTTTGAATAAACTGAGTTTTAAGGAAGTAATATGAAAAGTATTTGGCGTGAAGATAAAGGAGACAGTTTAAAGTGAACTAGACTTGGATGTTGGTACTTGTATTTTATCTGAGGAGAGCTATTTGTTGTTGACAAACATCCATGACATGTCCTATTTGGGTCTCTTAGCTAGCGACAGCCATGAATCAGCACGTTCTCCACAACAACCCTGATCACATTATTCAGAATACAATGTTGTCTACAGATAGATTTAGATACTGTTTTGATATCTGGTAATTGATTAGTGAAGATCAATGATTGGTTCTAGAGAATACATAATGATTTTTGGAATAATTTTGTAGAACAAATCAACACATGGTTTCACAGACTTTTCTTAGTGGATAATAAATGATCGAACTTCATTATTTGGACAAAAATTATATACTGCTATTTACTGCCCTTTACATAAAAGAATCAGCTTTTGAGGCCAATAAACAATGGAATTTTTCCATGAAGAAAGGATATTTGTTCTGTCAATCAGAAACCAAAATCCAGTCCCACACAATAACACTAGTTTACAATAGTTCTATGGTGCATTTGTGCATGGCCTTTTGTCAAAGGGTCCACTGTGAAACTCGTCAACAGCATGCCAACACGTGGCTGCAACACTAAACCCCTCCCATAATGGGCTCTTACATGTTTGTGAAATGAATTGTTTAATTCATCAGTCATATGGTTAATTGTCTGATATTACATATACTTAGTAATATTAACTAGGCTTGAGAACATGATAGCCAAACACTGATGTAGGAGTATGTGTTTCTGCAAATTTTCAAGTTAATTTGTGAAAAGTATGATGCAAGCATTTATAACATAGTGAAATAAAGATGGAGAATAGCTTAAAACAGATATGAAAATAAAATATTTACAATTTTACATCAAAGTTCAGTCCTCACAACATTATCTGTTAACTAGCCTACAGCACTATCATATAATTGAATATTTTTGAAAATGGTTTTCTGCAGTTTGATTTTTTTTTTTCAGTTTGAGGGATGTAACAAAGCATTTTCGCGTCTGGAGAACCTTAAGATCCACCTGCGGTCCCACACAGGGGAGAGGCCATATGTTTGTACACATATAGGCTGTACCAAGGCTTTCAGCAACTCCTCGGATAGAGCCAAACATCAACGAACACATCTCGATACAGTAAGTCTCTCTCACATTTCCTTTCTTTTTGCCAAGTTTCTCATATATTTTACATCTGATGAGTTTTTCGCACATTTCCTATCTAGTCGATCCTGTTGTTCCTTTAACAGTTTGTTGTAGGACTAAGAACTGATAGATATTTTATCAAAGTAAATGGTTTCTAGTTTGTTTAAAAAAATTCTGTTTGAGAATTGTTTTTTTTTTTTTTAGTTCTATTTTTGTTTTCATTAAAAATAATGATTTAATATTTAAGGACAAATTAAGGTGCATAACACTATAAAGATATGAGATTTTACCTCTTCAATCATAATGTTGGATCATATCCCATTCAATTAACATTATCTTAATGACACTATTGTCAAGGAGAATAAATAGTTAAAGTCCTGAAATGGATATAAGAAAACAAAGTTAAATAGGTGTACATACAAAATACAGAAAAAAGAAAGAGAGCTTTGGATATTGATTGCCAAAATAAGATTTAAATAGCACTGACCTACATAACAGGAAACATACTGGTACTGCCTAGTCCATTTCTGTCTCTCTGTAAATAAAGCTGTAGGTGCTATTATGAACCTAAGAAAATTTCTTATTTGTTTACAATTACATGGAATTTACGTAGACAGAAACAAGATCCTAAAACTCATCGGAGCCAATGGATTATGTACTATGTAATGAAAATGATGATGGCTGAAGATAATGGATTTTGGATGAAAATTAAACAAAGCAGTGTGATTGATCGACACTGGAATGCTCGAGTCAAGGAGATATTGTTGACAAGGATATTGTGTAGGACAATATAAAATTATATTGTGCACTTACAATGGGTATTGAGGGTTGCACAATGTCTACTATAAAGAGACACCTGTGTCTTTGTAAGTACAATTTGGATAACTTCTTAGGTATCATTGGTGCCTGTCACGTACTGTACAGTATACATTAATCAAAACCATTGATCAGTTCAAGCCAACAGAACATCAACTTCTGAAATAGAAAAACTCTATTTTTTCACTTGAAAATTTGCCTGATGTATGTTTTTTTCTCATTTGATGATGTCAAGAAAGGATGTGTTTTTTAAGAAACCAACAACATCACTGTAGTTAAGTGTGATGATTGTACCAAATACATCCCAAATACATCCCAAATATATCCCAAATACGTCCCAAATACATCCCAAATGTATCTCAAATACATCCCAAATGTATCTCAAATACATCCAAAATACATCCCAAATACATCCCAAATATATCCCAAATACATCCCAAATACATCCAAAATACATCCAAATATATCCCTAATACATCCCAAATACATCCCAAATATATCCCAAATACATCCAAATATATCCCTAATACATCCCAAATATATCCCAAATACATCCAAATATATCCCTAATACATCCCAAATATATCCCAAATACATCCAAATATATCCCAAATACATCCCAAATACATCCCAAATATATCCCAAATATATCCAAAATATATCCCAAATACATCCCAAATATATCCCAGATATATCCCAAATACATCCAAAATACATCCCAAATACATCCCAAATATATCCCAAATACATCCCAAATACATCCCAAATATATCCCAAATACATCCAAAATACATCCCAAATACATCCCAAATATATCCCTAATACATCCCAAATATATCCCTAATATATCCCAAATACATCCCAAATATATCCCAAATATATCCCAAATACATTCCAAATATATCCAAAATACATCCAAAATACATCCCAAATATATCCCAAATATATCCAAAATACATACCAAATACATCCAAAATACATCCAAATATATCCCTAATACATCCCAAATACATCTGAAATACATCCCAAATATATCCCAAATATATCCAAATATATCCCTAATACATCCCAAATATATCCCAAATACATCCAAATATATCCCAAATACATCCCAAATACATCCCAAATATATCCCAAATATATCCAAAATATATCCCAAATACATCCCAAATATATCCCAAATACATCCAAAATACATCCCAAATACATCCAAAATATATCCCAAATACATCCCAAATACATCCCAAATATATCCCAAATACATCCAAAATACATCCCAAATACATCCCAAATATATCCCAAATACATCCAAAATACATCCCAAATACATCCCAAATACATCCCAAATATATCCCTAATACATCCCAAATACATCCCAAATATATCCAAAATACATCCCAAATACATCCCAAATATATCCCAAATATATCCAAAATACATACCAAATACATCCCAAATACATCCCAAATATATCCCAAATACATCCAAAATACATCCCAAATACATCCAAAATATATCCCAAATATATCCATCCCTAATATATCCCAAATACATCCCAAATATATCCCAAATACATCCCAAATATATCCCAAATATATCCCTAATACATCCCAAATACATCCATCCCTAATATATCCCAAATACATCCCAAATATATCCCAAATATATCCCAAATACATCCCAAATATATCCAAAATACATCCAAAATACATCCCAAATACATCCCAAATATATCCCAAATATATCCAAAATATATCTCCCAAATACATCCCAAATACATCAAATACATCCAAAATACATCCCAAATACATCCCAAATATATCCCAAATATATCCAAAAACAAGGTTAGATATAAGTTAATTTTGAACGGTTTTCAGTTAGTTGAATTTGTTTTGATGATATTGAGTTTAACCAAATCAAGTGCTGACTCAGAACAAGATCTGCTTGTCATTGTAAGGTTTCTGTTGAGTAAAACAGTTTTGTTGACACCTACTGTGTAATACTTTGTCATTAATTATATCCCCCGCAACGAAGTTTAGTGGGTATACTGGAATCAGCTCGTCCGTCCGTTCATAGACAGAAGTTTGTCCAGCTATGCATTCGCACAGTTTTCAACGGATTTTTTTAAAAACTTTTTGGGAATGTTCAGTACAGATGTGCCCCCTGAAGAGATTTTTTAAAAAGTTGCCATGGCAATGGATTGGCAGCTTCCGACTGGTCAAAATATAAATATTGTTCAATTTTGCTGAAAATTAATATATAGTGGTATTTGAGTATGGTGAATTCATTGGTAGACATTTCAAAGCTGTTCTTAAAACTTAAATCAGACAAAAGCTCTTCAGCTGCTTCCTCAAGATTAACTACTGCAGCTGAATGCAGATCAGTCATATCTAAGTCATTTTCAACCTTCCAATGATTTCTACAATGATTTAAAACAAACGCAAGGTATTTATTATTAAATATCAGCCCCTAAAACATACGCAAGGTATTTATTATTAAATATCAGCCCCTAAAACATACGCAAGGTATTTATTATTAAATATCAGTCTCTAAAACATACGCAAGGTATTTATTATTAAATATCAGTCTCTAAAACATACGCAAGGTATTTGTTATTAAATATCAGTCTCTAAAACATACGCAAGGTATTTATTATTAAATATCAGCCCCTAAAACATACGCAAGGTATTTATTATTAAATATCAGCCCCTAAAACATACGCAAGGTATTTATTATTAAATATCAGTCTCTAAAACATACACAAGGAATTAATTATTGAATATCAGCCCTTAAAACATACGCAAGGAATTGACCATTGAATATCAGCTGTAAGGTGAGGGCATGTTTTTGTGCGACAGTAGAGTCAGATAAGATGGTCAGTCGAGACTGAAACTGTGAAAGCTGTGAGGTGAGAGATGTGGAGGGCATGTTTTTGTGCGACAGTAGAGTCAGATAAGATGGTCAGTCAAGACTGAAACTGTGAGAGCTGTGAGGTGAGAGATGTGGAGGGCATGTTTTTGTGCTACACTAGAATCAAATAGGATTGTTAGAAATATTAACCTACCTTTGATCCCACTACTAGTTGGCAAAATTTCAAATAATTTATTTTAATCTGACAAAAGATTCTGAAGGCTTTATTTACTTTTCTATATAAAATTCATTTATCTTGCTTGATACATGAAATGCTGTGGAAGCATTTTCATCCTGTGTAAGTAATAATGAGAAATTAGAGCCACACCTCTCTCAGGTAAATATACAAGCAGGTGTATAAACAGTGGAATATCATCAAGTCCAGTACTTTACTAAGCCCTTACTTAAATCTATTTAAATATACATATATGTTAATTGTGGATGTCAATAAGAACAGTTCACTTCTGTGAAAAATTTGGGGTTTTTTCAAACCGTATGCACCTAGAAATTCTATTTCAGTATAGCATTATTATGCTTGTGAAAACTTCATATTTCTATTTCATGAAAAGGAAACATTTCTACATTTTCAGCAAATGTTACAGTGTGAACTTATAGTGTATGTGTTATAAATGTCTTTAAAGTATTAGGTATATCACAAAGTAGGACATTGAAGAATTTCTCTTATTTTTTTAAATTTACTGGCGTTTTTTTTTGCACTAATGCTATTGATACTTGTGATACCTTTCAGAAACCTTATGCATGCCAGGTTGCCGGCTGCAACAAACGATATACTGATCCAAGTTCCCTGCGCAAGCATGTGAAGAACCACAATCAGAAAGATCCACAGATTAAAAAGAAGGTGGGTTATATAAGCTTTAGAAACAAAATTGCTGCACCATTCATAGCTGGTGTTATTTTAGTGTTTTTGTCTTTGCTTGATGACTTAAATTTTATTGAAACTAACTTTTTTAAGTATTAACACATCACTTCATAGATCTTTTTACAATATTTTCAGTTCAACCTCTAAAAACTTTCTGTAGTAAAATTTCAGATTTGTTTTTAGGAATTTCCTGAATGAAGATTTTATTGTAAATAGGAAATCCAGCTGCAATAGCGTGGTTTTTTTATCTTGATAAATGCTCGGGTTTCTATAATTATTTTCGACAATAACATCAAACAATCACAATTTTAGTAGATAGTGATAATTAGGAATTGACAAATTCCAGGCCATTGTCATTTAACCTCTCAGGTGATCCATTCCTCGATGAATTTATACTCTGTCATATTTTCAATGAACTGCAGATGGTCCACAGAATTCACTTTATTTTGAATTATTTGCGTTATCACCATTATACATGTCTGGAACATCCACTGTTCTCTGATGATAACGGAGATTGATTACTAACAACCAACACTGAAAGTTTGTAAAGCTTGCTTTTCAGAATCATTCACATCTCGGAGTGTTCTTGTTGGTATATCAAATAATTGTAAAGAAAAGAAACCTTTCTACTAGTAAATATTTTTCTATATTTGGAAGTGTTGCCCAAGAAATTGTGAGTATATATTTAGGTATCTGTAGGTAATCAGGAAGGTAACCTTGTAAAGGGATAGGTCTAGAGAAGTGGGTGTGTACGTCAAATGTTTACTTGTATGTTCAGGTGACGTAGATAAGTTTATTATTACAGGTAACAAATGGTTCTTATCTACAAACATTTTTACAGAACCAAACAAATCTATATTGAGTACTCAAGTGTTTATAGCGTTGGCTATGTACCATCTGTGCATGGAATCAGGGTCTGTGCTTTATACTCCGAAATGATTTACATTTTTAAATAAAAATCCTGCCTTTCATTAAAAGCCTTTTTCTCTAAATCTTACATATACAATTTCAATCTTGCATTCAGTTATATCTTAACAGGAACAAAACAGCTTTCTTCCTACAAAAACAGCAAAGTTATATTGGATAAAACAGTTAGGAAATCGAGTTTGAGTGTGTAATACATGTGTTGTTTTAACCTAGACAGTGTGTGTAATATCTGTGTTGTTTTAACCTAGACAGTGTGTGTAATATCTGTGTTATTTTAACCTAGACAGTGTGTGTAATACCTGTGTTGTTTTAACCTAGTCAGTGTGAGTAATATCTGTGTTGTTTTAACCTAGTCAGAGTGTGTAATATCTGTGTTGTTTTAACCTAGACAGTGTGTGTAAAATCTGTGTTGTTTTAACCTAGCCAGTGTGTGTAATATCTGTGTTGTTTTAACCTATACAGAGTGTGTAATATCTGTGTTGTTTTAACCTAGACAGTGTGTGTAGTATCTGTGTTGTTTTAACCTAGACAGTGTGTGTAATATCTGTGTTGTTTTAACCTAGACAGTGTGTGTAATATCTGTGTTGTTTTAACCTAGACAGTGTGAGTAATATCTGTGTTGTTTTAACCTAGTCAGAGTTTGTAATATCTGTGTTGTTTTAACCTAGACAGTGTGTGTAATATCTGTGTTGTTTTAACATAGACAGTGTGTGTAATATCTGTGTTGTTTTAACCTATACAGAGTGTGTAATATCTGTGTTGTTTTAACCTAGACAGTGTGTGTAGTATCTGTGTTGTTTTAACTTAGACAGAGTGTGTAATATCTGTGTTGTTTTAACCTAGTCAGAGTGTGTAATATCTGTGTTGTTTTAACCTAGACAGAGTGTGTAATATTTGTGTTGTTTTCACCTAGACATTGTGTGTAATACCTGTGTTGTTTTAACCTAGACAGAGTGTGTAATACTTGTGTTGTTTTAACCTAGACTGTGTGTAATACCTGTGTTGTTTTAACCTAGACAGAGTGTGTAATATTTGTGTTGTTTTAACCTAGACAGAGTGTGTAATACCTGTGTTGTTTTAACCTAGACAGAGTGTGTAATATTTGTGTTGTTTTAACCTAGACAGAGTGTGTAATACGTGTGTTGTTTCAACCTAGACAGAGTTTGTAATATTTGTGTTGTTTTAACCTAGACAGAGTGTGTAATATTTGTGTTGTTTTAACCTAGACAGAGTGTGTAATACGTGTGTTGTTTTAAATTAGACGGAGTGTGTAATATTTGTGTTGTTTTAACCTAGACAGAGTGTGTAATACGTGTGTTGTTTTAACCTATACAGAGTGTGTAATATCTGTGTTGTTTTAACCTATACAGAGAGTGTAATATCTGTGTTGTTTTAACCTAGACAGAGTGTGTAATACGTGTGTTGTTTTAACCTATACAGAGTGTGTAATATCTGTGTTGTTTTAACTTAGACAGTGTGTGTAATATCTGTGTTGTTTTAACTTAGACAGTGTGAGTAATATCTGTGTTGTTTTAACTTAGACAGTGTGTGTAATATCTGTGTTGTTTTAACTTAGACAGTGTGTGTAATATCTGTGTTGTTTTAACCTATACAGAGTGTGTAATATCTGTGTTGTTTTAACTTAGACAGTGTGTGTAATACCTGTGTTGTTTTAACCTAGTCAGTGTGAGTAATATCTGTGTTGTTTTAACCTAGTCAGAGTGTGTAATATCTGTGTTGTTTTAACCTAGACAGTGTGTGTAAAATCTGTGTTGTTTTAACCTAGCCAGTGTGTGTAATATCTGTGTTGTTTTAACCTATACAGAGTGTGTAATATCTGTGTTGTTTTAACCTAGACAGTGTGTGTAGTATCTGTGTTGTTTTAACCTAGACAGTGTGTGTAATATCTGTGTTGTTTTAACCTAGACAGTGTGTGTAATATCTGTGTTGTTTTAACCTAGACAGTGTGAGTAATATCTGTGTTGTTTTAACCTAGTCAGAGTTTGTAATATCTGTGTTGTTTTAACCTAGACAGTGTGTGTAATATCTGTGTTGTTTTAACATAGACAGTGTGTGTAATATCTGTGTTGTTTTAACCTATACAGAGTGTGTAATATCTGTGTTGTTTTAACCTAGACAGTGTGTGTAGTATCTGTGTTGTTTTAACCTAGACAGAGTGTGTAATATCTGTGTTGTTTTAACCTAGTCAGAGTGTGTAATATCTGTGTTGTTTTAACCTAGACAGAGTGTGTAATATTTGTGTTGTTTTCACCTAGACAGTGTGTGTAATACCTGTGTTGTTTTAACCTAGACAGAGTGTGTAATACTTGTGTTGTTTTAACCTAGACTGTGTGTAATACCTGTGTTGTTTTAACCTAGACAGAGTGTGTAATATTTGTGTTGTTTTAACCTAGACAGAGTGTGTAATACCTGTGTTGTTTTAACCTAGACAGAGTGTGTAATATTTGTGTTGTTTTAACCTAGACAGAGTGTGTAATACGTGTGTTGTTTCAACCTAGACAGAGTTTGTAATATTTGTGTTGTTTTAACCTAGACAGAGTGTGTAATATTTGTGTTGTTTTAACCTAGACAGAGTGTGTAATACGTGTGTTGTTTTAAATTAGACGGAGTGTGTAATATTTGTGTTGTTTTAACCTAGACAGAGTGTGTAATACGTGTGTTGTTTTAACCTATACAGAGTGTGTAATATCTGTGTTGTTTTAACCTATACAGAGAGTGTAATATCTGTGTTGTTTTAACCTAGACAGAGTGTGTAATACGTGTGTTGTTTTAACCTATACAGAGTGTGTAATATCTGTGTTGTTTTAACTTAGACAGTGTGTGTAATATCTGTGTTGTTTTAACTTAGACAGTGTGAGTAATATCTGTGTTGTTTTAACTTAGACAGTGTGTGTAATATCTGTGTTGTTTTAACTTAGACAGTGTGTGTAATATCTGTGTTGTTTTAACTTAGACAGTGTGTGTAATATCTGTGTTGTTTTAACCTATACAGAGTGTGTAATATCTGTGTTGTTTTAACTTAGACAGTGTGTGTAATATCTGTGTTGTTTTAACCTATACAGAGTGTGTAATATCTGTGTTGTTTTAACTTAGACAGTGTGTGTAATATCTGTGTTGTTTTAACTTAGACAGTGTGTGTAATATCTGTGTTGTTTTAACCTAGACAGAGTGTGTAATATCTGTGTTGTTTTAACTTAGACAGTGTGTGTAATATCTGTGTTGTTTTAACCTATACAGAGTGTGTAATATCTGTGTTGTTTTAACTTAGACAGTGTGTGTAATATCTGTGTTGTTTTAACCTATACAGAGTGTGTAATATCTGTGTTGTTTTAACCTATACAGAGTGTGTAATATCTGTGTTGTTTTAACCTATACAGAGTGTGTAATATCTGTGTTGTTTTAACTTAGACAGTGTGTGTAATATCTGTGTTTAAGCCTATACACCTTTATTTTGAATAGCCACGAAACTTATATTTACAATATAAGGCTATTACAAGGGAGAATTGTTTATACTTATCTCAAGATCAGTGACATTTCCTGGTATAAGTTTTCCATTTTTTTCATGACCATGACATTAAATGTGACAAGCCAATCAGTGAAAGGCATTAAGTACAGAATAACAACATCGTTGGTGCCATTTAAATTTAGTGAAAATATCCAGCGATCCCAGGACAGTCACAACATATAGCATTCCTCACTACTCTTATATTTCTTGAAGTAATAAAGAAAATATTTTAATGACATGATTAGGCTGTAAAGTACTATAAAGTAAAGAAAATAAATGCCTATTGCACTGCTCCTGTTCCACCATCCATTATAAATTCAATTTTTTTTAAACATTCAACAAAGTTCATTCTGAAAACATTGTAAAAGTATTCTTAGAGAATCTGAAATTTAAAATTGTAAAATGATGTTGAAAACAAAGTTTAAGGAATCAAACTTGTGGCCCTGTGCACATTGTTGATTGGTGTAATGCTGGACACCAGTTCCATGTAATGATTCCCGTTTTCAGTTTTTAGTTTGCCAGTCTTCACAGTGTTAAATTTGTTGGATATAAAATAGAGCCTTTTACCGTGAGGATATTTATTTATAGAGCCAAATTAGAAAGACAACTGTTAATGTGTAAATAGTGATAGAAAACTTAATAATTAAAATCTGTATAATATCCCTGTGTGATGAAGTACAGTTGCTAGGCTCATAGCTGTCTGTGACATTGTCATTGAAATATTGTAAAAGGGATTGTAAACTGCTCCAGTTCATTTGAAGAGATAATTAACTTCACAAAGATATTTAGGAGATGTTGATAGAAGGAAGGTTACTAGCTTTGCTGTTGGGAGATAATTATTTGTTCACACTAATTACTATGTCTTTTATTTACTTTAATTTGACATTTACAGTTAGCTGTAAAATGAAGAAAACCAATTATTGGTTTTGTACTTTCTCAGGGTTTGTGAGTAAATATACAATACTTACTTCAATGATTTAAATATTGATATATCTTGGGCACTAAAATTGCCTTGCGTTACCAACAGAAAATAATTTCTGATCAGAAAATGAAAGAGATTTCAGCTGCAATTGTATCTCTTTTAGATGAAGAAGGAGGGAGATTCGCCATTGGCCGGTCATGGCATGTTGTCCAACTGTTTAACAGTACAACAACTTCATGTTGACAATACACCGACAGAACAACAAGATACCAGACAAGGTGTGACTGGACCGACCACTGACCTTTACACTAGTGAGTTTCCATTTATTTATTCTTCTTTGTTTGTTACGTTTATTTTTCCTTGCAATAAAAAATCACTAATCTGTCCTTAATTACTTTGGAATTATCTGCCTTTAATAAACTGTCTAATACAAGAAATTTTCCAATAAGTATGTAAAATATAGTTTACCTGAAAGTATATTGAAAGCACTTGACTTTTGAAAATGAAAGCAAATGAAAATATCTTTAATCAGAAATACTGCTGGAATTTTAGTTGACTTTATGACAACTTTGTCAAAAACCAATGTTGAGTAACTACAAAGTAATGGTATTTTTAAAACAAAGTTTTAGCCAAGGAAGAATTTTGATACATTTGAATGAGAAAATTTTACACTGAATAAAGGGTTGAAATTTTAGTATAATAATGTTGTTTATTACAAGTACAAAATAGAATGTTTTGGGAATGGATATCATGTGATCTATAAAACTTTTTTGTTTCGCTTTTAATTTGTGAGAAAACTGTGAATGTGTTTTAAAATGAATTTTGAAGATTGGCAGTAGTAGGCACTGAGAGGTTCCTGCCCCACTGATAGGCCTATTTAGGACAACCACGCTGATAAGTGATAACACACATATTGGATGGCTTAAGTTATTAGTGGTGTTCATTTCGGTCTCTGACGTCAGTATCAGGCAAGACAATGACTAGCTTTGTTTAAGGCCTCTTGAGGTGTGCAGCCCGATTACTTAACAACATATAGACTTTTTTAGCATATTTACAAATATTTGTGTTGAAGGGTACAGACCAACAATGGATCCCATCTGTTTTGGATATTTTATAGATTTTCAATTCTTCTAAAAAAAAACCAGTAAATATATTCATAATCATAACTGGTGAATTTAGATTGTCCATCCAAAATGATGTCCTTATCATCATTTCTGTGTTTCTTGTAATTGAATCTGTGAAGATTTTTCTTTAGGAAATGTTTAGATGATATTGATTAGTGATGATTAGTTATGAAAGTTTTCTTATACATTTCACTATCTATACTGGCTTTCCATGCTAATTCAATGTGCTTTGATGTTGTTTGAAAAAAAAATCAATGTACATTACCGATTAATTTAAGTGAACAGGCTAAAAAAATCCTTCAAATTGGATAGACACCTCTATTAAAAGGATTTTAATGCCTTTAGGCTACATTAAAAACGACAAGTTATCAAACCATCATTTTCATGTTTACTTTTAATAAAATTTCCTTAAGTGTAAAAAAAAGTTGATATATTCAGACCAATCATTTCCTAAATATTTCTCATATTTATATGATTAGGTTCAGTTAATGATAAATACCAATTGGTTTTGTTTAGTCGGTCTGTCGGACCATTCACCAGGTCCAGTAACCATGGGAAGTCCAATGCCAAATTCCAACCTTAGCGTGGTGGAAGAGGAACAAGGGTAAGTGACTAAAAAACAATATAAAAGGCTTCATGGCACAAAGGCTTTAAAAATAGATTTGAAACATGGAAAGAAATCTGAAAATGTTTTTGTAGATATGCTATTACAAGGATTTTTGATTTTCACTTTCTAAACTTTCTGCTTTGACAATAGTACAAAGGAAGAATTGTTTAAAGGAAAGGAATTATGTCCACTTTGTGATATTAATCTTAAGTCTTTTTTGCTTCTCAGAGTAATTATTTTTAACAAAATGAGAATCCTACACACTTGGTGCTCCCCAATACACACTTCATTTTACAAATGTAAAGTGTGTTTAAAGGGAATTTGTCATAATTAGATCGGTTAGAAATACTTCAGGCAGAAAGTACGCTGTAATAAAGGATTATTATCTCTTGTTAGTTGTGTATTGAGTGTTTCAATTTTGACACAGTGACGGTCATTCTGAGACACTCCCTGATCTGTTGCCAATGTAATCCACCCCACACCGTCTAAATATCCACAGATAATTAACTCTAATTGTATTGTTTCTTTGTCATTAATTGAGGACAGAAAATTTTGAGATTGTCAGAATTTGCAATTTGGCAGTTGTGATGTTTGTTAAACAGAGAGAAATTCTGTATTACAAAGCTTTAACTTTCAAAATACCAATATCTGTCAGCAAGTCACAGTATTATTTAGTTAATTGTTTTCTTGCTAATTTTTTTGGCATTTAGGGATTGCAGCTGCCAAAATGACATTTACAAATTACTCAAGTGTGATTCCAATTGCGAAAGTCTTTATTTGAAAAAAAATTCATTTTAAAACATGATTTAAAAATTTTACAGATTTGGTACCTACTCTCCTGTGCCACCTCCGACACAATTCATGAGCAAACGACCATTCCCAACAATTCGTCCTCCTGGCTTGCCAGCTAGTATGCGCCAGAATATCGCCCCACCATACCATGATCCAATACAGCAGCAATATCTGGATCACATGAGTAACATCTATGGTAACTAAATTCCTTATTACACTTCTTACTTCTAATGCAAGTTTCTCATTCACAACAACAGTTATAAGTAGACATCTGATGTCTATAACAGGCAATTTCATCAAAATATAACTTACAAAAAAACAATTGAGAAACTGACATAGAGACAGGAAATTGATCTGAGCCGATTATGAACTTGAAAGAGTTTTACAATGTTCATTGATTCATTATAAATAATGACTTTAAAAGAGGGTGTGTATTATCTACCAAATCAGCAAGGGTGTGCTAACTACCAAATCAGGAGGGGTTGTACTATCTACCAAATCAGGAGGGGTTGTACTATCTACCAAATCAGGAGGGGTTGTACTATTTACCAAATCAGGAGGGGTTGTACTATTTACCAAATCAGGAGGGGTTGTACTATCTACCAAATCAGGAGGGGTTGTACTATTTACCAAATCAGGAGGGGTTGTACTAACTACCAAATCAGGAGGGGTTGTACTATTTACCAAATCAGGAGGGGTTGTACTATCTACCAAATCAGGAGGGGTTGTACTATTTACCAAATCAGGAGGGGTTGTACTATCTACCAAATCAGGAGGGGTTGTACTATCTACCAAATCAGGAGGGGTTGTATTATTTACCAAATCAGGAGGGGTTGTACTATTTACCAAATCAGGAGGGGTTGTACTATCTACCAAATCAGGAGGGGTTGTACTATCTACCAAATCAGGAGGGGTTGTATTATTTACCAAATCAGGAGGGGTTGTACTATTTACCAAATCAGAAGGGGTTGTACTATCTACCAAATCAGGAGGGGTTGTACTATCTACCAAATCTACCAAATCAGGAGGGGTTGTACTATTTACCAAATCAGAAGGGGTTGTATTGTTTACCAAATCAGGAGGGGTTGTACTATCTACCAAATCAGGAGGGGTTGTATTATTTACCAAATCAGGAGGGGTTGTACTATTTACCAAATCAGAAGGGGTTGTACTATCTACCAAATTAGGAGGGGTTGTACTATCTACCAAATCAGGAGGGTTGTACTATCTACCAAATCAGGAGGGGTTTACTATCTACCAAATCAGGATGGGGTTGTACTATCTACCAAATCAGGAGGGGTTGTATTATTTACCAAATCAGGAGGGGTTGTACTATTTACCAAATCAGGAGGGGTGTTTTATTTACCAAATCAGGAGGGGTTGTACTATTTACCAAATCAGGAGGGGTTGTACTATCTACCAAATCAGGAGGGGTTTTGCTATCTACCAAATCAGGAGGGGTTGTACTATCTACCAAATCAGGAGGGGTTATACTATCTACCAAATCAGGAGTGGTTTACTATCTAACAAATCAGGATGGGGTTGTACTATTTACCAAATTAGGAGGCGGTTGTACTATTTACCAAATCAGGAGAGGGTGTATTATTTACCAAATCAGGAGGGGTTGTACTATCAACCAAATCAGGATGGGGTTTTACTACTTACCAAATCAGGAGGGTGTATTATCTACTAAATCAGGAGGGGTTGTACTATCTACCAAATCAGGTGGGGTTGTACTATCTACCAAATCAGGAGGGGTTGTACTATCTACCAAATCAGGAGGGTTGTATTATTTACCAAATCAGGAGGGGTTGTACTATCTACCAAATCAGGATGGGGTTTTACTACTTACCAAATCAGGAGGGTGTATTATCTACTAAATTAGGAGGGGTTGTACTATTTACCAAATCAGGAGGGGTGTATTATTTACGAAATCAGGAGGGGTTGTACTATCTACCAATTCAGGAGGGGTATATTATTTACCAAATCAGGAGGGGTGTACTATTTACCAAATCAGGAGGGGTTTTGCTATCTACCAAATCAGAATGGGGTTGTATTATCTACCAAATCAGATGGGGTTGTACTATCTACCAAATCAGGAGAGGTTGTACTATCTTCCAAAACAGGATGGGGTGTACTATCTATCAAATCAGGAGGGGTTGTACTATCTACCAAATCAGGAGGGGTTGTACTATCTACCAAATCAGGAGGGGTTGTACTATCTACCAAATCAGGAGGGGTGTATTATTTACCAAATCAGGAGGGGTTTTGCTATCTACCAAATCAGAATGGGGTTGTATTATCTACCAAATCAGATGGGGTTGTACTATCTACCAAATCAGGAGAGGTTGTACTATCTTCCAAAACAGGAGAGGGTGTATTATTTACCAAATCAGGAGGGGTTGTACTATCTACCAAATCAGGAGGGGTTGTATATCTACCAAATCAGGAGGGGTTGTACTATTTACCAAATCAGGAGGGGTTGTACTATCTACCAAATCAGGAGGGGTTGTACTATTTACCAAATCAGGAGGGGTTGTACTATCTACCAAATCAGGAGGGGTTGTATTTACCAAATCAGGAGGGGTTGTACTACCACCAAATCAGGAGGGGGTACCAAATCAGGAGGGGTTATATCTACCAAATCAGGAGGGGTTGTACTACCAAATTTACCAAATCAGGAGGGGTTGTACTATCTACCAAATCAGGAGGGGTTTTAATATCTACAAAATCCGTCTATCTACCAAATCAGGAGGGGTTGTACTATCTACCAAATCAGGAGGGGTTGTACTATTTACCAAATCAGGAGGGGTTGTACTATTTACCAAATCAGGAGGGGTTGTACTATTTACAGGAGGGGTGTATTCAGGATTTACCTACCAAATCAGGAGGGGTTGTACTATCTACCAAATCAGGAGGGGTTGTACTATCTACCAAATCAGGAGGGGTTGTACTATCTACCAAATCAGGAGGGGTTGTACTATCTACCAAATCAGGAGGGGTTGTACTATCTACCAAATCAGGAGGGGTTGTACTATCTACCAAATCAGGAGGGGTTGTACTATCTACCAAATCAGGAGGGGTTGTACTATCTACCAAATCAGGAGGGGTTGTACTATCTACCAAATCAGGAGGGGTTGTACTATCTACCAAATCAGGAGGGGTTGTACTATCTACCAAATCAGGAGGGGTTGTACTATCTACCAAATCAGGAGGGGTTGTACTATCTACCAAATCAGGAGGGGTTGTACTATCTACCAAATCAGGAGGGGTTGTACTATCTACCAAATCAGGAGGGGTTGTACTATCTACCAAATCAGGGTTGTACTATCTACCAAATCAGGAGGGGTTGTACTATCTACCAAATCAGGAGGGGTTGTACTATCTACCAAATCAGGAGGGGTTGTACTATCTACCAAATCAGGAGGGGTTGTACCAAATCAGGAGGGGATCTACCAAATCAGGAGGGGTTGTACTATCTACCAAATCAGGAGGGGTTGTACTATCTACCAAATCAGGAGGGGTTGTACTATCTACCAAATCAGGAGGGGTTGTACTATCTACCAAATCAGGAGGGGTTGTACTATCTACCAAATCAGGAGGGTTGTACTATCTACCAAATCAGGAGGGGTTGTACTATCTACCAAATCAGGAGGGGTTGTACTATCTACCAAATCAGGAGGGGTTGTACTATCTACCAAATCAGGAGGGGTTGTACTATCTACCAAATCAGGAGGGGTGTATAGGGGTTGTACTATCTACCAAATCAGGAGGGGTTGTACTATCTACCAAATCAGGAGGGGTTGTACTATCTACCAAATCAGGAGGGGTTGTACTATCTACCAAATCAGGAGGGGTTGTACTATCTACCAAATCAGGAGGGTTGTACTATCTACCAAATCAGGAGGGGTTGTACTATCGACCAAATCAGGAGGGGTTGTACTATCTACCAAATCAGGAGGGGTTGTACTATCTACCAAATCAGGAGGGGTTGTACTATCTACCAAATCAGGAGGGGTTGTACTATCTACCAAATCAGGAGGGGTTGTACTATCTACCAAATCAGGAGGGGTTGTACTATCTACCAAATCAGGAGGGGTTGTACTATCTACCAAATCAGGAGGGGTTGTACTATCTACCAAATCAGGAGGGGTTGTACTATCTACCAAATCAGGAGGGGTTGTACTATCTACCAAATCAGGAGGGGTTGTACTATCTACCAAATCAGGAGGGGTTGTACTATCTACCAAATCAGGAGGGGTTGTACTATCTACCAAATCAGGAGGGGTTTACTATCTACCAAATCAGGAGGGGTTGTACTATCTACCAAATCAGGGGGTTGTCTACCAAATCAGGAGGGGTTGTACTATCTACCAAATCAGGAGGGGTTGTACTATCTACCAAATCAGGAGGGGTTGTACTATATACCAAATCAGGAGGGGTTGTAGTATATACCAAATCAGGAGGGGTTGTACTATCTACCAAATCAGGAGGGGTTGTACTATCTACCAAATCAGGAGGGGTTGTACTATCTACCAAATCAGGAGGGGTTGTACTATCTACCAAATCAGGAGGGGTTGTACTATTTACCAAATCAGGAGGGGTTGTACTATCTACCAAATCAGGAGGGGTTGTACTATCTATCAAATCAGGAGGGGTTGTACTATCTACCAAATCAGGAGGGGTTGTACTATCTACCAAATCAGGAGGGGTTGTACTATCTACCAAATCAGGAGGGGTTGTACTATCTACCAAATCAGGAGGGGTTGTACTATCTACCAAATCAGTTATTACTCTTGCATATCAAGATTTCACGATACAAGGACACAAATGTTCTCATCATATTTATTTAGAATTATACCTTATGTTAGACATGGAGGTATACTTCAATGTTGCTGACTTCAGAAATACACAGCATGTAAGCAATAGTGAGAGGATATCAAAAGAGGTTAAACCGGATCATTATGTTTAAATGTCTGTAAAGTTTGATTTCTCTGTTCGGTAAGAGAGACATATTTGGGGTCACTATAGAATAGATCAGGACACTTATCCACCATGGTCATCCGTTAACCACTGATTTGCCTAATGATATAGACAACTGTGTAACAACACTAGTCACAAACAACTACTTGGCTTGGAAAATGTAGATAAATTTTCACAGCAAAGAGAAAAAAAATGGTAGCATATTATTAACCATATCCAGATGTTTTAAAACCTGAAAAAAAACAACAAAAAACACAAAGACGTAAATAAACATATGTATATATGAAATGTCTTCTGAGTTCTGCTGTAAAATTGAATAATATAACTGGATTTTTTTTCCAGATAATAACAATGGCAACCTCAATGCTTACCCACCTGGTGGAATGGATATGCCAAGGGCGAATTCAGGTACATTATTATTAAAAATACTGTCACACTTTGAAATTATGTCTTAAAAGTCTTCATGAAATATTGTCTTATCCATTGTTTAAAAACTCATAACAACCCAATTTTGGCTTAACTTTTGTCAAACCATTGTTTAGAGCCACGTTGGTTTTGGAATCCTGAGCTGCTAGTGGAGGTATCAAATTTCTGGTCATTTGCCAGAGATTGGACGCTTCCTCCAAGTCTTGTCTTTTACAAGCATTTCAGGGCCCAGGGAACAACCAAGAGCGTGGCTTTATTTGATATTAAGGATGATAAAACTGTATAAAATACGTCATTAGATACACATGTGCTATTGAGATTGTGTAGTGGTAGTTTAGTGGTCATTCAGACAGGTAAATATTCTTATCTAAAAATGTAACTTGTCCTCTCATCTCTGTCCCCCTGTGAAAGTATATTGACATTCACTACAAGTACAAAGGGAAACATTTTGTGCGACTAATAAAACATCGATTGTTCTAGGTCTGTTGCTGAGTCCACATCAATTTTGAAAATGGGAAAAATTGGCCACTATTGACTGATAAGAGGCCCCACAGTCAGACTTTAGAAGATAGCTTATTTTGTATTTATATATATGATCCACTGAACAAGATTATTAGATTTGCAGTGGCAAATTAATCTTCAATTTGCAGTAAAATTAATTAGATTTTTTTTTATATATGAGAGGAGTGTATTTCAGAACAACACAAAACAACCAAAATATTCTGATCTTACTATCACTACACGAAGGATCCTCTCCCTCACAGCCTGATTAGCTGGTGGCCATCTTCTGTATAAATAGTTTTCCTGGTCTGGTTGATCTTTCTCCGTTTCATCCTAAAAGAGTTGAGGGGAGGAAATTCTAGATAAATACTTTTATTTAAGTGAAACTTAACATAATCACTTTATATAAATGTTGTAGTCAGTAAAACGGTGATATATAGATGACTGTGTTTGTCTGCAGGCTTTATGGATATCCCAGAAGACTATATTCCCATGCCTTGTGCTGCTGAGGATGCACAGGCCAAACAGTACCTTCAGCACAGAGCCATTGACAGATGCAACAGCAGACTCAGTGCCATCTACGCAGATGGGACAAATTGAGGACCAGTTAGGCTTAGTTTTTGTAACTAGGATTTCCACCACTTATGCATATGTACCCTTGTGGCACCAGCGAGAGTTGAAGGTTGTAGATTCCAATCAAAAAGTGTGCACAGATTTTTAAAAAAAAATACAGACTTTATAGTGGTGAGAATTGATGTGTTAAAGAAATGTGATATCATTACTATAATACAGAGGAAATCCTCAACAATATTTTGGACGGTCACTGAGGGACAATAAAAATTTGGAATGTTAATGGTGGATGTAATTTGCCAGTTTGCAAAAACATTACTATCTTTCACAGAGTTTATTCAACAATGCAAGAGGTTGCATGTTGAAATATTGTGACAAGGCAATGTATGAGGTAGCGCCTAGTCCTAGACATTGGATCATTTCATGGCTTACAAAGTGATATGGATTTACATTTTTTGTTTTTTTTTTTTTAGAAAAATAAATATTGGTTGAAATAATCATGAATGATCAATGAAAAGAAGAAAAAAATTCATTGAATGTTTAAATTTTCGCAAGTTATAGATATATATATACTTTATGTTCTGTATATGGTTTTGTCTATTTACAACATATTCCATTCACTTTCTGATAAGTTATATCATTGTGCCATAAGGTATATATTCGTATCACAACTCATGTCTTGTACCTGATCATCTGTAGGTTTCTTTAAAAACATATTCTGTGTTCCTTCAGTATTGATAATCTCCATTAAGTAAATCACAATCTCTATCTTCACTGCAGCAAAAACACAACTCAAAAGCAAATTAATCATCATTACAACCAAAATCGTATACGCAATTTTATTTGTTACTGAAATCCCGCGATTAATATGAAGGGACCATTTAACAGTTTTCTCAAACAGTATTCATTTCAAACTTTGCCAAAATATTTATTATTATTTATTTGTAGTAAGAACTGTCATTTGTAATATTAAGATACTGTCTTATGCCACGACAACTACCACAACTTTAATTACAGCAATGGTATTCAAAGAGATGACAGTGCTATCCACCGCAGATGGTGTGTCTCAGAGTCAGTCTGTGACACGGCCAAAATCATGACTGTATCAGCAATATGTTTATTCTGCAATGAATTAACACAGACAATGTCAGCATTTCCTGGAAACAAATGTTTTTATGCAGCAAGTACGTGTAATTGTTTATGTTTGCTTGGACGTTTGTCCAGCTACATATACATACCAAATGTAGGTATGTCACGGGGATACATACCAAATGTAGGTATGTCACGAGGATACATACCAAATGTAGGTATGTCATGGGGATCCTAACTAGCAACTTATGTCAGCAAAGTTTTGTAATGATAAGATTTAAGTGAAGTATTACTGCATTTTTGCGTGTTGAAGCAACCACACAGAAACAGAAAAGAGATTTTTTCAAATATACGCCAAGATTACATCTCTATAACAAGTTTGGTCTTTTCAGCAATATAATATACAGCATTACACATGGTATTTGTTGTATTGTAGTAATACATCAATCATAGAGATAATCAAAAGTTCTATGGTACAATCAGGCTGTCTGCTGTCACAGTAGATTTGATTCCGTCCATTATTTAGGTGATATCAACATTCCTTTAATTTATATTGTGTATCCTTTAAGGAATTCCTGGCTTTCAACAATCCTGATTAATTGAGAGCTTGTCTATATGGCAGGTCAAAATATTAGTGATTGTACACATTCCCTAATGTATACTGAGCTATATTTCCTGTGCTTAACTGTCAGTTTAAATATCATGAACTATAGTTTAAGTATAGTGAGCTATAACTTCTTAATAGTGAGCTATACTTATGTATAGTGAGCTATAGTTTATGTATAGTGAGCTATAGTTTATGTATAGTGAGCTATAGGTTATATATAGCGAGCTATAGGTTATGTATAGTGAACTATAGGTTATGTATTGTGAGCTAAATGTTATGTAAAGTGAGCTATAGTTTATGTATAGTGAGCTATAGGTTAAGTATAGTGAGCTATAGATTATATATAGTGAGCTATAGGTTATGTATAGTGAGCTATAGTTTATTAATAGATAGCTATAGTTTATGTATAGTGAGCTATAGGTGATGTATAGTGAGCTATAGGTTATGTATAGTGAGCTATAGGTTATGTATAGTGAGCTATAAGGTATGTATAGTGAGCTATAGGTTATGTATAGTGAGCTATAGGGTATGTATTATGAGCTATAGGTTAAGTATAGCGAGCAATAGTTAATGTATAGTGAGCTATAGGTTATGTATAGTGAGCTATAGGTTAAGTTAAGTGAGGTATAGGTTATGTATAGTGAGCTATAGGTTATGTATAGTGAGCTATAGGTTATGTATAGTGAGCTAAAGGGTATGTATAGTTAGCTATAGGTTATGTATAGTGAGTTATAGGTTATGTATAGTGAGCTATAATTAACAATGAATTATACAGATTGGTGCAGTGAAGTTTAAAATATTGCATATAATTCTATGTTGCATTTTCAGATATTTATTCACGTTTTTGTATATACAGCACTCTGTCATTGTTTTTGTTTATTTGGGTGCACACAATACACCTGTGTATATATTTCCACTGTTATTCCTTTAAGCTGTGATGTTGACCTTTCACTTTTAGCTGTTTTCAGTGGTTGTTTTACTGAAAGAGACCCTTTACAACATTGATTAAATAACAATGTCATTGAGAAAGAAGAGTCTCTCCCCTGAATCTTTTTTCTTATCAATATATTTTTCATCATTTTATCAATGATTATATACTTGATGAGTCCAGCAAACACTGAATTACCAGTATTTGAGAGTTGAATTAATTGCATTTTAAAATTTGTTTTGAAGATGTTCCTACAGACAATGTAATGCTGATGTGAGTGTATCACCATTACACATTTGTAAATCCTCTTTTGAATACTACTTAGTGAAGATTTTAGTTATCAAAGACGAAGCAGTGTTTATAAAGAAAATATTCAAATTAGACTGGTTCAAGGATGCAGCATGTTTACTGATGAGAATAGTCAACATTTAACCAACCATCAATAAAAACTCATCCATTTGAACAGGTACCCTGTGAATAATTACTTTAGAAAAATAGAAATATCAATTTCATCAGATCTAAATGCAAAAAGATAGAAACTAGATACTTATATGTTTGTGTAATTTTATCTACAGGAAGATTATGCTATCATGTATTAATGTTACATTATTTATACTGAAAATTCTAAAGTTTATTTTAATTGTTTTTTATCAGATTTTTAAATCTTCTCTGATCACGTAATTCCAGTCGTACAGATTTAATTTCTTAAATCAAGTCACGATAATCCGTCCAATCTTTATATTATTATTGGTACCGGCTCTGTTTCCATGGCAGAAAGTTGGCCTGTATATATGTATATATTTGTCAGATATTTAATAATCAAATCAAACTGTTGGTATGTTTCTCCTGTTGTAGGTATTTTTTATGTGTTAGACGAAGAAATAGAAAGAAATTTCAATCAGACCTAGGTTAGGAGACCACCTTTATTTAAGAGTCCTGAAAATTTAGATTCACTCATATCAACAGAGCGTTGTATAGAAATGATAGCTCTCAAAAGTGCTCTAAATGAAATTTTTATTGTTTGCAAAAAAGTGGTCAATACTATACATCAATCAGTCGGAGATAAAAAAGCAAAAATACCTGTTGTACGATCAATGACAGTGTTAAGATGAAATGGTGTTATAGAAATGACAAATTTGGGAGTATATTAAAAACCTTCAGACATTGGAGACCTCCTTCCGTCCACTCATTTAGAAATGTTTATTATATTATAATGTCATATTTTTCAAAGATCTTTCGTATGGCATCTGTTTTTTTCTTTTTTCAAAAAAGAATAAAAATATGTGATCACTATCTTCGGTAATAATATTGTGTGAAGGAAGTCTATTAAGTGTCTGAGTGGACTTATGGTGTTATGTTACGCGGTCCTATGTATCCGTAGTATTAGTTCAGCAAGATGTGATATTTTTGAAAGATGTATTTAGCAAAGTACACCAATCCGTCCGCATTTTCTTTACTGTCGCGAGACAAACATCAGTCATTCGATAGCTAAGAATGTTTATGTCAAAATTAAATGTTTTTTGTATGAGAAATTGCCATGATCTAACGACCCCTACCTTGAGTACAGGTAGAGATAAATCCAACATTTGGTTTCCATCATCATTGATGTCATCTTATGTTTAAACATTGGTCTACAATCAAAACATTTAAGTGACTTCACCGTCAGCTTTCAGATCAATCACATAGCATTGTCAAGTGTGACCTAGAATGCAGCCATATTTATCCTGCTTTTAGAATGTTTGAAATGCATAGTCCACAGAAAACTCTCTTTTTTATAACAAAAATGACTTCTGATATTTCTGATCTAAAATCAAATTGATATTTTTTAAAAAAGCGCCACGTTTGGCTTGGTACCTCCCAGTCATTGTTGGCAGGATTTCTTACTGATTCTATTTTTATCTAAGAAACTATAAACGCCATGTGTTTGTGTATTTCTTCAGTCACAGCTTTATGTATAACACTATTCCTGGTGTGACCAGTATCACAGGCAGAAGATGGTGTGTCCATTATGAGTACAAACTAGAGTTGAAGCATATATACAACAGCGTTGTGGAAAGCTATTTTGTTTTGAGTTATGTTAAGTAAAACGTCTAAATTTTCAGACATTTTAAACAGGCTTTTAACTCCATGTTATATTGTTATTCTAAGTTAAGTACAAGTAATATTGTTATCTTTGTATTAAATGATGCTGATGTTTTCAGCTGGTGACTGATCAACTGCTACAGAAAATTGTTCTAGTTTGGACAACTTTGGCTGTCCTTTGTGGGACAATGTCCAACACACAATTTTAATTGATTGTGGTTGCCAGGCGACAGTAATAGCAAGTGCCTTAGTTTTAACCTGATTGGTTAGAATGGAGAATTGGTGTCCAGCTGTATGGGAATATTATCAGCTGTTATGTACAGT